CACCTCAGGTTCTCCCCTCCCTCGCTCACAAGGTGCAGCAGCCCTCCGGGGAGCTCTTGCACATATGCCTTCAGGTGGGCCATCTCGAGGGCCTTCCAAACCTCCTCGTCCGTGTACTGGTCAAAGGGGTCCAGGTTCATCCGCAGTGTGCCAGTAAAGAGCACGGGGTCCTGCCGGCGACAGCACCGTCTTCAGCCACACCATGGCCATTCGGCAGGGGCGACGGCTCCAGGCCCCCGAGTTTGGCCACATCCCACCCACCCTGCTGCCTGTGGCTGGGCAGGGGAGGGAAGGGTGGCATGCTGACGGGCCCTTGGACTCCCCACAGCACCCAGGGGTTCACTCAGGGTGATGTGAGCGCAGGGAAAAGGGCCTGGGGAGGCCGTGCAGCAGCGGGACATGGAAAGGCAGGGATCAGCTCACCTGGGGGATGATGGTGAGGTTCTGGCGCAGGTCGTGGAGGCCGATCGTCGCTATATCCACCCCGTCGATAATGATCGTCCCTCCAGCAGCCTCCAGCACCCGGAAGAGGCAGTTGGTGAGGGAGGATTTTCCAGCCCCGGTCCGGCCCACGACCCCAACCTGTCAACCTGGGGAAGCAGATATTTAGACCAGCTGACAGGGTTGAAGAAAACAGAGCAGATGATCTCTGTCTCGGTCTGGTGTGCCTTCCCACCCTGCACCTGCAGCCACCATGTCCCAGACTGTCTCCTTTCGTCCCCCGCCCGCAGCTCAAGTCCCCAGGAGCCACATCCCGTCACCATCCCTCCCCAGCCCACAGACTGAAGCTAAGAGGACAGAAACAACTTTAACACCATGTCACTATGGAGAGGGTATAGTGAGGGCAGAGGCAGAGAGCTCCTCACCTTCTCTGTGCTCCCAATATCGCAGGTGATGCCCTGAAGAACCAGCTCCAGTTCAGGCCGGTAACGCACTTGGTAGTCAACAAACTGGATCTCGCCTTTGCTGGGCCAGCCACGGGGTGGACGCTTTTCTGTCACCCATGGAGCCTGAGGGCGCAGGAGCATTAGGGGGTTGCATCCTGTGTTGCTGGCACCAAGCTGTGCAGCAGAGCCTGGACCATGGTCTCCTCACCTCGTTCTTCACCATCGTGTACTCGTGTACCCGCTCCACAGCCACAATGTTTGTCTCCAGCTCCGAAGACGTCCGCACCAGCCAGTTCAGTGTCTGGGTTACCTGCGTGGCAGAGCTCAGTGGTACCCCAGAACAACCACTTCCCACCTCCACTTGGAGACAGCCTGGGCAGGAGCATCCCTGGCCCGGCCCCTAACTCTCCACTCCCCAGCCGCAGCCCCTTCTCCCCAGCCCTTCAAAAGCTTCGCTGTAGCATCTCTGATCCACAACGGAAACGTGCTTCTCCCCACGGCAGCAAGTATCCCACTCACACTGGGATGTGTGCTACCCCAACTCCATAGCAGCTCCCCAGGTTATGGGATACCCTAGCTAATCCCCTCTCCATGGATCAGAGCTGGAGGCAGGGCAGCATCCTGCAGCCAGCCCAGAGCTCCCAGAAACAGCCCTGCCCTGGAATAAGAAAAAGTTTTCATTGACTCACGTTGAGGGCGGAGGAGACAGAGAGACCCACGATGCCACCGTCCAAAGTGCCCTTTGAAATCACTGCTAGAAGCGCAGAGAAGAAGACCACCAGGCTCCCAACAAACTCCAGACGGATGGCCAGCCACCTGCACCAGGAGAGGATGGCTGAGGGGTGGTGGGAGAGGTGTCTCCCTGCCCCCAACACA